CTGTACACATAGCAAAGCTAAGGACTGTAGGACCAGAAAAGAGGAAGTTACTATAAGGAAAAAAAAATCAGAGAATTTTAAACATTTAGATCAGGCACCCCTTAATTATATATATACTGTATGCAATAGTGTTTTATCAAACTGGTCCTATAGTCACTTTAATAATCCCAGGGCCAAATTACTGTAGTTACATTACGCCATCTGTAATAAAGTATTTCTGATTCCTGGTTGATGGGACAGGTGTTGTGAATGAAACGGTGCCCAGCTTGAAAGAGCTCCTGTGTGTCGCTGAATGTGAGCATTGATGACTGAAAGACATCTTCTGCCTCCATTTATCTGTTTACTACAGTCTGTTGAATTCATGTTAATGAGTATTTAAAGACATTTCAATTAGTGGGGAAAAAAAACCTTCGTAACCCCCCTGCAGTACCTCTGTAGAGACCCTAGGGGTCGCAGACCCCCTATTGAAGAGCTCTGATTTAGACAGTTGTTTTTCTCCTAGATATTGCTGGAGTTCGTGGGCCGCTGGAAGACGGATGAAGAGCCTTTACCTCTTGTTCAAATGTACTTGGTCGCCCTGCTGAGTTTTGCCAAGGCGTCCTCATACCTCTCTCTGCAGTGTGAAAATGTTCCTCTTGTGATCGAGAGACTTTCGCTGTAAGTAACATTTAAAATGTTTCCATATAAAAAAAACTCCTGATCAAAATCTTACGACCTTATTAAAATAATAAATAAATGTTTAGATTATGGGTGGTGTGAATCATGGTTGAATAGCTGTTATTTTTATTCTGATATATTCTTAAAGATTGGAGAATTTCTCCTATTTCTGTATTTTTATGCTGTGCTGCATTATTTACCTCATTTAAGCTTTCTAAGCTATAGGCATGACTCTAGTAATCTAAAATGAGTAAGTTCCCCATCTGTCAACAGATAAAAAACCCTCTGAAAGTTAAATTGTTTTATTTAATAAATTGCCTCATCAAAGAATATGTCTCCTGCTTCCAAATGTTTTAAAGCAAAGGAAGCTCTACTTAGAACTCTCTCTAGATCTAATTGATCAAAATGCAAATTCTTTTCATTCTTTGGCTGGTTTTTAAAATGCCCGCCTGGCGTGCACAATGTAAAATGTGCACTTTTTTTGTTTTATCTTTTTTTTTGTTTTTATTAGATCAGTCTTGTGATGTCTTATGCTCCTGTCACACCCTGCTGATTTATCCAGCGTATGCCTGACGTCCCACAATCTCCTAAAACGCTTCTTTCTGTTTTTCTAGGTAGGATTTATACATGGAGTATTGATAACGAGTCCAGAGCTTATGTCAAATAACAACCTAACGTATCCATAACACACGGCAGCGTAATGACCATGAAATGATGCTTGTGCATCATTTCATGGTCAT